AAAAAAAAAAAAAAAAAAAATCTCCATTTCAATGCATCTATTTGACAGACCTGGAGCAGTTACTATCTGCTGCTAAGGTCTCCACTACAAATGCAAGAAAAACATGTCCTTGCGCTTTCCGTCTGTCTAATTGTGGCAGCTGAGATTGAATACAGGAATACAGGGTAAAAACGGGAAGACAATACTTGAGACAGGTTGGTCACCAGACTTGGAGTGCAGTGGCACAAGTGGCTCACTATATCTGCCTCCTGGGCTCAAGCCATCTTCCTACCTCAGCCTCACTAGTTGCTGGGACTACTGGCATACACCCTTATGCCCACCTAATTTTTGTAGAGACCTCGTCTTGCTTATTTGTCCAGGCTGGTCTCAACTCCTGAGCTCAAGATCTGCCCACTTCGGCCTCCTAAAGTGCAAGCCCAGCCTGGGAGGAGAAATAGTCCCTACCACCCTTACCTCACTGATTACATTTGTTAAAGGTTAGAAGCAAGCCAGTGACTCTGGTCTGACTGAACATGTGAATCTAGTGATTGAGCAATCTGGAGTTTGTCCTAGTGTCCAAAATCTGAGCCAGACACTAATTGTGTGAACATCCCCCAAACCTCCATGATTTGAAATACATATTGGGAACTTCAAACGTTTTAAAAAAAAAAACAAAAAAACAAAAACCTCCATTTCAAAACTAGCTTGTCTCTTTAATCCCTGCTCACTACTATTACAGGAAATTTTTACATTTCTCTGGAATAACGTCTTTCAATCTTACAGAAACGAAAAGATCACAGGAAAAAAAAATCACATTAGAAGTACTAAGCTGTCTTTCTCAGAGCTTCCCCCTCTCCCTCATTAACATTTCTCAAAGAGAAAAACACCACTGTGATGCTCCTCTCACAGATCATTCATGAAGTTACTAACTGAGCTGGGACGAGACAGACTTCATCAACTGGGCACACAGCCACTCACCATTACCCTTTGTTTAAAGTCTCAACAGCCATTCAACCCACATTATTGTGTTCCACTCAAGCCCATCAACATTTTTTTTTTAAGAGAAAACAATCAGGAAACTAAAACAAACGCCACTTAACTAGAAATGAAGAAAAGACTGAATCCATATGCCTCACAAACAAAAATTCTCTAAAACTGATGGCTCACTTTAAGCTTCCTATCTGAAATAGCAGTATTATTTTTAACAGACTTGCATTCCTAAAAAAAAATTATAAACAAATAATCATAAAAAACTTGTTAAAAAAACAAACTCATAATCTTGATCTGGCAAAGCATTCTAAACAGCAAATGCAAATGCACATATTGAAGAAGGAGCCAAGACCTTCAGCAGCCTTTTGCCTAGGGCTGGGGAGGGTACTGGGAGGAAAAAGAGTACTCTCCCCAAGAGCCAAGACCCGGACTATTCTAAATTTCAAATGAATTTTAGAAGTGCTGTGCAGAGCTCTGTACTAAGTCCAACTCAAAGTTCTTTTGGCTGAAAATAACAGAAAGCTTACACAAAAACTAGAATTAACTGAAAGGGTACCAGAGCATCTCAAGAACTCCAAACAGGCCTACACATGGAAAGTCTTAACGCATCCAGATTTCTTTTCTGCATGTGGATGGCTGCCCTCTCCCCAGAGCTTCTTTCTAGATGAAATCTACTTACTTCTCCTTCCCTACAGAATGCCCTTCATTGCCTCCACATGTACAAACGAGCCCGAACTTGGCTGCATACCATCATCTGAGTTTTTTTTTATTTTTTTTTTATGATTCAGTCCCTCTAGAGACTGCCAAAAACTGCCAATGCCAACTATATTTCAAGTCGTCATGGCGGGGTATAGGGAAAAGTTCTCAATAAGCAATAATCGCACCTCAGATAAACCTCATTGGCTACAATACTGCCACTACCTAAAGCTCAGCACCTGAGTTTATGTCCTGAGTTCTCCGAATGTAGGTGACTGTATCCTAAAGACTTGAATCTCAGTTCCAACCTCAAATTCCTAGGATAAACTGATTTGCCCAGCTTTGGCCAGGTGTCCACCTCTGGTGCAATAAGATATTACAAGAGGGGCTAGGTCACAAAGTATAATTAGAGTAGGAATTATGTGCCTGAAGCACTCCCCTAAAGTATATGCAATACACTAAGCAGAATGGCAGTTTCCATCCTCAAAAAGTTTACAATCTTGCTGAAATAAAAAAATATATCAATAAAATACTAAATCAGGTACAGGAATGAATGGACAGGAAAAGCCTCAAGACAAAGATTAGCTGTGCACTAAATGACAAACAGAAATTGAATTATGTGCAGGGAGGGGCTGAAGAACATTCCTAAGCACAAAATGTGATGCCTGCTCCTCTTGCTCTAGCCATCTAAGAAATATGGACCTAAGGAATAAATAATCTTTTACCACATAAACAGCTTCCAGTAAAATATCCTCGTTGAAAGCCTGCTATAAGGCTTAAAATGACTTTGAACACAAAGCAGTACTGCTTCATCATGCAGTAATCACCCACTAGCTGACAAATGTCAAATAGTTATGCATTTTCAAGCTGTCACCACCACCCTGATTTCCTTTCACTCCCTAGCCTCCACAAGACTCTTGCTCAGAGAGCACTCAAAATCAGGCAATCGGGCCAGGCGCAGTGGCTGCCACCTGTAATCCCATCACTTAGAGGCCGAGGCAGGTGGATCACAAGGTCAGGAGTTCAAAACCAGCCTGGCAAACATGGTGAGATCCCATCTCTACTAAAAATACAAATACTAGTCGAGTGTGGCGGCAGGCGCCTATAATCCCAGCTACTCGGGAGGCTCAGGCAGAGAACTGCTTGAACATAGGAGGCAGAGGCTGCAGTGAGCCAAGACTGTACCACTGCACTCCAGCCTGGGAAACAGAGTGAGGCTCTCTGCCTCAAAA